AATGTGACAAGAGTCAACTCATCAGTTCAGTTCCCTGAGTTTCTCAGGCTTGATGACAGAACTAGATCTTGAGGGACCTTTGGAAAGTCAAGAGCGATGGTCCAAGTCTCATCTCAGAAGGAGGATGTTCCATGCTAGTGCCACAGCTCAGAAAGCCCATTGCATAGGTTCCACCAAATGTACCTTTTTAAATGGCAGAAGTCATACCATGCTATTTCCGCTGAATCTTTCTGCATGTGGGTTTGTAGATCCTTTGCATTTTTTGCAATCGCGGTAGCGTCATGATCATTATAACACAGGTTGTTGAAGTTTCTTCCTCCAATTTTAAAACAATCTCCCTATCCACTTCCCTTAATGTTGTTAGTTGCGAAGTCGTGTCTAACCCATCGCGATCCCATGGACAATGTTCCTCCAGGCCTTCCTATCCTCTACCATCTCCTAGAGTCCATTTAAGCTCACGTCTACTGCTTCAGTGATTTCATCCAGCCACCTCATTCTCTGTCGTCCCCTTCTTTTGCTCTCAATTTTTTCCAGCATTAGATCCAGTGAGTTCTTCCTTCTTGTCAGGTGGCCAAAGTATTTGAGTTTCCTCTTCAGGATCTGGCCTTCTAAAAAGTAATCAAGGTTGATCTCCTCTAGGACTGACCAGTTTGATCGCCTTGCAGTCCAAGGGACTCACAGGAGTCTTCTCCAGCACCATAGTTCAAAGGCCTCCATTCTTTGGCGCTCAGCCTTTCTTATGGGCCAACTTTCAGATCAGAACTGGTCGTCCGCAAATTTAACTAAATGTAAAACAAACAATGAATGCAGAAAAAAATAAAGATAAATCAAGGTTCCTTCTTTCAAGTTGCCTACAATGAAGAGTCCAATGGTCTACAACCTGACCAAACAAGCATGACAACTTCTACGCTGGTGGAACTTCTTCTGCCCATAGTGTTACACCTTCCTCTCCTCACCTGCAAAGCATCCAATTCCCTTACACTGAAGTCTTATGAGATATTTTAGTCCAAGACACAGTGACACAGTCTGAAAGTCATTTGATGGCCACAGCTGCAGAACAGCTTAATTGGCGAGGAAACATCTGCTGGCTCCTTCCCATTACCAATCATCCAACCATGATTTGTTTACAGGTAACCACTGAACGGGATTTTCATATCAGGCTGCCTTTTGCAAAGTACAACAAAGCAGAATGGCAAGATGATAACAGAATAAAAAAAAAAAGTTGGAAGGGACCTTGGAGGTCTTCTAGTCCAACCCCCTGCTCAGGCAGGAAACCCTATAGTACCATTTCAGACAAATGGTTGTCCAGGCATGCAAGGCTCTTCTGAGATCCCCCCCCCCACGATCCAACCATGGAGGATGCCCAAGCGGCTTCCTTCTAGTCTGGCTTAGCAGTTTTTTTGGCAGCATAGTTTCTGACTGTCAGCCACGACCGTGAAAGGCTGGAGAGCGAGGAACAGACACCAGCCCGCAGCTGCAGCCCAACCGAAGCCATGAGACCTCGAAACCTACCCTCTTGCTGGCTCTGAAGGCTTCAGACGCAGGGAGTCGGCGCAGAAACAGAGAGCATTCTGGGAAACGTAGTTCGTCTGCCTCCTTCCTGTTTCCTTTTATTTTGCTGTGGCAGAAAGGACTTCCGCATTTCGACACCTTTCACAATGACCCATCCCACATTCAGCATTTAAATAGGTGTGATTTTGATAGTTTCACTACAAACACTCATCTTGGGGGGGGGTGTTCGGGGGGGGGGGAGGAAATACTACTTGAATAAGTATCCCATTCTCCTTTACTTTTACAAATGGCAACTTAAAGTACTCAAAATTAGCCAGCGTTGGTTAATATAACACAGCCTATCAGATGACGTTCGATTCAACTGCCTTCATGCTCCGTCATCTAGAGCAGGGGTGTCAAACTCAAGGCCCAGGGGCTAGATCCGGCCCGCAGAGTACTTAGATCTGGCCCGCAGGGCTGCCCTGGAAACAGCGGACTGGCCCGCAGTGCTTCTGCCAGCAAAAGCAGAGCTCTGTTTTCACTGGCAGAGGGTTGCAGAAGGCTGTCGCAGCCTAAAATGGAGCTCACAAGCCCGTTTTCGCTGGCAGAGTGCTCAGCCTCCACAGGCGTCCCCAACACAAGTGGTGTTGAGCTGGCCACACCCACCCTGGCCACACACACACCAGCTCCCAGGAAGTCAAAGACAACCCCCATGCAGCTGTCAATGAAATCAGGTTTGACACCCCTGTTCTAGAGGCACTAGGTTGGGAACATTTGGTTTAAAATATGGGGTTATTCCTTCACTGAAAAACTTGTCGTATATTCCAGATTTATGGTATTCAGTTTAAGGGAAAACCGCAGATTTCAAGCTAGAAGAAACAAAAAAGACTTGGGAGTAATGTTCACTAAACTAATATTAGTAGATTTGATCAATCAAACACCAAAGTTGCTATTTCTGGGAAAACAAAGCATCCCCCCCCCCAAAAAAAAATATTGTATTTAATGCACATCTTTTAAAAAAAGCAATAACAAGAAAATCATTTTGATACTTTCTATTAATGACAAATCAATACATCTTTGAAATAGTATAAAATTTGCATTCAATGTCGTCTTCCTAACAAAGACAACAGTTATTCCACCACGACTTCTGTACAAACAGCTTCCCGGTATTGCACAAACAAAAACAACAAAGTCATCCAGAAGAACAAAATTGCGACGAAGATATAGTAGTTCAATTA